CCAGAAAGAAGCAGCATCCAAAGCTGATGACTGTAATTTACCAACTCTGATTTGGTAGAAAAGAGCGGGGACATGGCTGCTCAATGTCCCCTCATGTTTTCTCAGCTCTTTATAAGTACTCTGTCTACTCTTGAGTGCATTTGTAAAGTAGTTTGAGTCCCTGCAGATATGGGAGGAGTCAGTTTTGTCTCAAGGCAATGATAGGGAAGAATCCAAAACAAAACTCCATTTGTTTACTTCCTATTTTGTTTTCCCACAGCCTGTAGGCCTCCTCTTGCCCTAGAACCCCAAGTTCCATGGACCAAGCACATTTACAGTTCAAACCAGGACTCTATACCACCTTGCCTTCCCTAGGAGTTTTCAGGTTTTCTTATTGTTGGCTTTTTCTGTCTATAATTCCTACTGGAGGTGATGCTTAGTAAGAGATCCAGTAGTTGTTCTAGTCAACATCTTAGTATTATCTTCCTGGCAGAAACTCTAACAGAAGAAACTCTGGAAGAAACTCTAACAAAAGCTTTACCTGTGTGTGTACTTTTTGACCCAGGGATCACATTTCTATAAATTTCTCGTAAGTGTATTATCAAGAACTATTGTATCATGATGTTTGAAAACAAATTAAAATGCCCAACAATAGGTATTAATTAAATAAACCTATATTGATAGAATAAACTATTCTTAGATAACTAATTTTTCACACTCAGTTTTGTTTTTAAAAAAGTCAATGTCAGAGTGCCTGGGTAGCTCAGTCAGTTAAGTGACCAACTCTTGATCCCAGTCCAAGTCGTGATCAACTCTTGATCCCAGTCCAAGTCGTGATCTTCAGGGTTGTGAGGCCAAGCCCTGTATTGAACTCCACTCTGGGCATGGAGCCTACGTTAAAAAAAAAAAAAAAAAAAAAAAAAAAAAAGTAAGAAAAGAAAAGAAAGAAAGAAAAAGTGAGGAGTACCTACGTGGCTCAGTTGGTTGAGTGTCCAACTCTGGATTTCTGCTCAGGTCATGATCTCACTGTTCATGAGTTCAAGCCCCACACCAGGGTCTGCACTCACAGTACAGACCCTGCTTTGGTTTCTCTCTGTCTCTTTCTCTCTCTGCTTCCTTGCACTTCTCTCAAAATAAATAAATCAACATTAAAACGAAATGAATGTCTACATACATGTGCACTAAAATGTAACAGATGGGGCACCTGGGTGGCTAAGTCAGTTAAGCCTCCGACTTGGGGCCAGGTCATGATCTCACGGTTCATGGGTTCAAGCCCCACGTCAGGCTCTGTGCACACAGCTAGCTCAGAGCCTGGAGCCTGTTTCAAATTCTGTGTCTCCCTCTCTCTCTCTGATCCTCCCCTGCTCGCTCTCTCTTTTCTCTCTTAGAAATAAATAAAACACTATAAAAAAATAAAATGTAACAGAGATAATCTTTTAGTATTAAATAATGAGTGGATTTATTTTTCCTGTCCTTTTTTATGCTTTTCTAAATTTCTATAATAATCAATATTGGTTTTGTCCTCCAAATTAGGAATATATATACATATATATAATATATAATTTAATAAAGCAAAACCAATCAACTGGAATGTGGGGGTTTGTGTGCGAAGCATATATTTTTCATTTTTCTTCTCTGTTCACTTGATTTTTTTCCTGAAAATTTGAAATCAGGGAAGAAAAGAAATATATTGATTTATATAATTTACATGGTCTTATCAAAATATGGAAACTAACTCATCTGAAAAGTCTAACATTTTTCTTTGGAGATGTAAAGAATAAAGGACACCACAATGGCTCATACTATTTATTCAGAAGGCTTATTTGACCTTTGTGGGCTTGCATAGGTACCCCTTACTCTGTGAATATTTAGTGTCATTTGTATATCTCTATTAAAATGCTTTATCAGGTACACCTGCGTAGCTCATTCAGTTGAGCCTCTGACTCCTGATTTCAGCTCAGGTCATAATGCCAGGGTCATGGGATCAAGACTTACGCATTAGGGAGCCTATTTAACACTCTCTCTCTCTCTCTCTTTCTCTCTACCCCCCACCCGGCACTCTCCCCTATTTGTGCGTGTTCTTTATCTCTCTAAAATTAAAAAACATAAAGTCTTTCAAACTAACTACTTTACTTACTATCTCCATATATGACATTCTTATGAAGAAGATATTCTGCCTACTTAATCATGTATCCTCATGCATATGGTACATATGCCCTCTGAGCTCACTGAGAATGGCATAGACTTAGTGGTGTCCTCTTTCCATATGTAATGCCAGATATAGTAGCCAAACCAGGGGAGAACAGACTAAAAATTGCCAGGGATGGTATAATTAGCAAAGACATTAAAACAGCTAATTGTTTACATATTCAGGGATTTAAAGAAAAACATTAAAATAATGATATATGAAATGAAATATCCACTGGATGGGTTAAGTAGTGCATTAGACACTGCAGATAAAAATATAAGTGGACTTAAAGAACTGTTCCAAACTGAAGCAGAGAGTAAGACAACTGTAAAAAAAAAAAAAAAATGGATGACACCTCAGTGTCCTGGTACTGTGTAGTCTACAGTGTAGTCTAAAAAAAAAATGTGTAACTGGAGTTCCAGAAATATTTCAAGAAATAATGACCAGAATTTTTCCACATTTTATAAAAAATACAAACTCACAAAATCAAGAAGTTCAACTAATTTCAAACAGATAAGAAAACCACACCAAGACATAATTTTTGAAAGCCAGCAATAAAAATAAAAATCATAAAAGCCCAGGAAAAGGGCACATTATATATACAACACAAGAGATAAAAAAATTTACTGACTTTTTCTATAGAAGTAATGCAAATCAGAAAACATTGCAATGAGATCAGCACAAAAAGGAAAACCATGAACTTAAAATTATATATCCAGCAAAAACATCTAAAGTAATGACATTTGCAGATAAAACAGCAAAGTAACAACAAAGAGGAAACTCATTACCAGTAGACGTTTGTTACAAGAAATATAAATGAATTCTTAAATTAGAAGAAAAATGGTACTAGATGGAGCACAATTCACACAAAGGGATGAAGAACCCCAGAAATGGTAAATATATATGTAAATATAAGAATAAGAGACTGACTTTTTCTCATTTAAATTTTTAAAAGATAACTGAATGTAGAAAATAGAAATATGTGATCCAATAATTCTCGTACTGGATATTTACCTAAAGAAAGTGAAAACAGAGGCGCCTGGGTGGTTCAGTCAGTTAAGCGTCTGACTTTGGCTCAGGTCATGATCTCTTGGTTCGTGGGTTCAAGCCCCACATCGGGCTCTGTCCTGACAGCTAGTTCAGAGCCTGGAGCCTACTTCTGATTTGTCTCCCTCTCTCTCTGACCCTCCTCTGCTCATACTGTCTCTCTCTGTCTCTCTCAGAATTTTTTAAAAAAATGTGAAAACACCAATTTGAAAAAATATATACATCCCTATATTTATCACTGCATTATTTACAATAGCCACAATATGGAAGCAGCCTAAGTGTGCATCCACAAATGAATGAATAAAGATGAGGTGTGTGTGTGTGTGTGTGTGTGTGTAATATTCCATTATATATATGGAATATTAGTCATAAAAAGGGATGAGATCTTGCCATTTATAACAACATGGATCGGCCTAGAGAATATAATGCTAAGGGAAATGAGTCACACAAAGCCAAATACAATAAGATTTCACTCATTTGTGGAATTTAAGACTCAAATGGACAAAGAAAAAAACCAAACTGATGGTTGACATAGAGGACATGGGTAGGGAGGGGTATGAAGAAAATAGATAAAGGGAATTAAGAGTGCATTTGTCATGATGAACACTGAATAATCTAGAACTATTGAGTTATTATATTGTACACCTAAAATTAATAGAACACTGTATGTAAATTATACTGAACTAAAATGTATTTTTAATTAAAAAAAGAATTGACTATTTAAATCAAAAGAAGTAATAAAAATAGGAAGAAAATTGTGAGGTTTATGATGTATTTAGTAGTAAAATGCATGACCACAGTGCAAAGAATGGGAAGGAGAATTGGAGGTAAAATGTCATAAGATTTTTACATTATTCAGGAAGTGGTATGGTATTATTTAAATCTATGCTGTGGTAAGTTAAAGATATATATCTAAACCTTAGAATAACCACTAAAGATACAAAGAGAGCTAATAGGACAATAGAGGAGATAAAATGGAATACTAAAAATTGAATGTGTTCAAAAGAAGGCAGGAACATGGGATGAAAGAAGAGATGGGCAAAATAGAAAACAAATAGCCAGATTGTAGATTTATATCCAATTATATGATAATTATACTAAATGTAAACTGTCTAAACACTCCAGTGAATTGATATATTTTGTTAGATTAATAATCTAGTAAACAATTCTATACCACAAGAATTGGCAGACTTTATCAAAGGGTAGATAGGAAGCATTTTAGGTTTGAGGACCATACAGTTTCTGTTACACTTACCCAATTCTGTGTTGTAGCTCAAAAACAGCCAAATACAAAATGTAAACAAGTGGTTCTGTCATTATTTCAAGGAAACTTTATTTACCAAAAATTAAATAAATGAATAAGCTGTCCTATGGGCCATAGGTTGCCAACCCCTAATATACTGGATAGAGGAAGTGCTTTATAATGTAAAGACACTGGTAGGTTAAAAATAAAATGAACCATGCTAACACAAATCATCAGAAAGCTGAAGTGGCTAAATTAAATTAAAGTAGACTTCTAAATGAGAAGAAAGCTATCTTTACCAGAGATAAAGAAAAAAATTGATAAAAGTTCATCAAGAGGACATACTGTCATGTGTATGCACCTAACAGTAGATCTTAAAAATATATGAAGCAGACACATAGATCAGTGGAACAGAATAGAGAACCCAGAAGTGGACTAAAACATGTATGGCCAACTAATCTTTGACAGAACAGGAAAACATATCCAATGGAAAAAAAGACAATCTTTTCAGCAAATAGTGCTGGAAAAACTGGACAGCGGCACTGCAGAATGAAACTGAGCCAATTTCTTACACTATACACAAAAAGAAATTCAAAATGGATGAAAGACCAAAATCCTACAAGAGAAAACAGGCAGCAACCTCTCTGACCTCTGCCAGACCAACTTCTTACTAGACACGTCTCCAGAGGCAAGGGGAACAAGCAAAAACGAACTCTTGGGACCTCATAGAGGTAAAAAGCACAGCAAAGGAAACAGTCAAGAAAACTAAAAGGCAGCCAACAGAATGGGAAAAGATATCTGCAAATAGCATACCAGATAAAGGTTTAGTATCTAAAGTCTCTAAAGAACTTATCAAACTAAACACCCCCAAAACAATCAAGTGAAGAAATGGGCAGAGGGACATAAATAGACACTTTTAAAGACATCCATATGGCTAACGGACACATGAAAAAAATGTTCAACATCACTCTTCATCAGAGATATACAAATCAAAACCACAAGGAGATACCACCTCGTAAAATGGCTAAAATCAACAACTGAGGAAACCACAGATGTTGGCAAGCATGTGGAGAAAAGGGAACCTTCTTGCACTGTTGGTGGGAATGCCAACTGGTGCAGCTTCTCTGGAAAACAGTATAGAGGTTTCTCAAAAAGTTAAAAATAGAACTACCCTATGACCCAGCAATTGCACTACTAGGTATTTATCCAAAGAATACAAAAATGCTGATTCAAAGGAGCACATGCACCCACGTTTATAGCAGCACTATCAACAATAGCCAAATTATGGAAAGAGCCCAATGTCCATCGACTGATGAATAGGTAAAGAAGATGGTGTGTGTGTGTGTGTGTGTGTGTGTGTGATGGAATATTATTTGGCCATCAAAAAGAATGTAATCTTGCCTTTGCAGTGATGTGGATGGAGCTAGAGAATATTATGCTAAGCTAAATAAGTCAGTCAGAAAAAGACAAATACCATATAATTTCATTCATATGTGGAATTTCAGAAACAAGACAGATGAAGATGGGGGTAGGGGAAGGAAAGAGGCAAATAAGAAAACAGACTCTGAGCTTTAGAAAACGAACTGAAGGTTACTGGAGGGGAGGTGGGTGGTGGGATGGGTTAAATGGATGATGAGAATTAGAGTTGTGATGAACAACAGGTGTTGTATGTAAGTGATAAATAACTAAATTCTACACCTAAATATAATATTACAGTGTATGACAACTGACTGTAATTTAAATTAAAACGTGAAAAAGAGGTAAAGTAAATTAAAGCCAAAGAAACTAGAAACAAAGAAATAATATAAAAGCAGAAATCAATAAATTAGGGAAAACCAAGCAATAGAGAAAATCAGTGAAAGTACAAGAGCTCTTTGGAAATATCAATAAAATTGATAACCTTCTTGCTAGACTGATCAAAAAATAAAAGAGAAGGGAAGAGTCATTAAAAGAATCATTGGGGAATCTTGATGACAGCCTTCAACTTGAGTCATTGCAATTTGGTCTGGCTACCATCCCTGGTGGCATAGGTATCATTGCAGGATATCTCTTACTCATTTGTGAGATTCTCTTTTTCTCTCCTATGTAAAACTCCTTTTTCTTAAACCTTTTTTTTTTGTTCTCTCATTTTTGTAGAGTGAGTTTTTCAGAGGATTCTTGAAAAAGAATGTTTAAGGTGTTATTTTAATTTTCTAAAGTTTTTCTTTTAATTCTAAGTTTTTTTTAACTTGTATTTTTTTAAAATTATAGTTGACATATATCATTAGTTTCAGCTATACAACATAGTGATTTAACAATTAGGCACATTACAAAGTGCTTACGATAAGCATACTTAATCTCTGTCACCATACAAAGTTATTATGATATTATTGACTAAATTCCCTATGTTGCACTTTTCATTCCCAACATTATAAGTTTTTAATTTCCTTAGACGTTAGATCTTTCCACTTTGGTTTCATTTGTATTGCCTTAATGTGTCATGTTTTATAAAGGTAATTAGAAGTAGCTATTGAAAAATGTTTTTGTACCACCATTAAAAAATAGTTTCTATTTAGTAGCTATAACTACATAAGGGAAGAATTCTGAAAAACTGTCTTTTGTAAAAGAGAAAATTCCAGGGGCGCCTGGGTGGCTCAGTCGGTTAAGCGTCTGACTTTGGCTCAGGTCATGATCTACGGTTCATGGGTTTGAGCCCCACGTCGGGCTCTGTGCTGACAGGTAGCTCAGAGCCTGGAGCCTGTTTCAGATTCTGTATCTTCCTCTCTCTCTGACCCTCCCCTGCTCACGCTGTCTCTCTCTCTCTCTCTCTCTCTCTCTCTCTCTCTCTCAGAAATAAATAAAACATTAAAAAATGAAAAGAAAATTCCATAAGACATTGCTATTAAAAGATCGATTCTGTTCATTTATTTCATTGTGTTTTAATTTTATTACTCAGAATTGTGTTTGCCAAAATAGATATATCCATTGTATAGATTTCCTATAAGTCAAATTAAACTTTTTTTCATCACTAATATCATAAGACAGTATCTCAGAAATGTGGTATCTCTTGTAAAATGCAAGAATGTAGACAATCTGCTAATCCAAGTAGTCAATGGGAAAACTGAATTGCAGACAGTCCTAATTCCTATTGTTGTTTTAAATGTGAATGGAAATTGCCTAATGCGTTCACAAAGTTTTACTTTGTGGGACTATTTTACTGTGTCAAACACAGGGGATTTTTTCCCATACCAAATGGTATGTATATACATATGTATGAATATATATATAATATGTATGTAGCATATACATCACATAGCTATTTTGATGTACCTCCATCAAGATTTACCAAATTTGGGGAGTGCCTGGGTGGCTCAGTCAGTTAAGTGTCTGACTTCAGCTCAGGTCATGATCTCACAGTTTGTGGGTTCGAGCCCCGCATGGGGCTCTGTGCTGACAGCTAGCTCAGAGCCTAGAGCCTGTTGCAGATTCTGTGTCTCCCTCTCTCTCTGACCCTACCCTGCTCATGCTCTCTCTCTCTCAGAAATAAATAAAACATTAAAAAAATTTTTTAAAGATTTACCAAATTTGGGAAATTAATAGTTGTTACTTAAAAATATATGGCAAATTATATTTGCCAAAACTGACAACAAAAATATTTCTGATTCCACATGTTCTTCCAGAACATATCCACTCTTTCATGAAAAGGTAAAATTTATTTCCCTTTTCTTTGAGATTTGTCTGCCTTGATGAGCAGAATACAGTAGAAATGATGTTAGGTAGCCTCAGAAGCTTAATCATAATAGAAAGTACACTCTCCGTGACTTTATATATCCCTTGGGGTGCTCTCCCTGGGAACCCCAACTCTCATTTTGTGAGGAAGCCCAAGCTACATGAGAAGTCCTACCAGGCATGTGATTAAGATGATTCCACGCCAGGCCTTCAAACTGCCCCACTGGCACTGAGTTAAGCAGAAACAAGCTCTTACTGCTGAACTTTGCCTAAACTTGTAAATAATATATGTTGTTTATCCTGCAGCAATAGTAACTGGTACACAAAGGGTTCTGTTTCCAAATAAGTTTTGAAAATAGTTAATTTGAGCATGAAAAGAAGTTTGTTTTCTCTAAGAAAGACTTCAGTGTGCTTATATGTGTCATGTTCTCCAAAAAGATCATAGAGTACTTTATATACAGTATCTGATACATTATCATTGGAGAATGCATCTCCATGGTTATCATTTCAGTGGCTATGTATTCAGTTAATAAACCACCCTGCCCTTCATTTATCTGTCCTTGCACATTTAGAAAGTTTACATTTTACTGTTACATGTGTTTTAGGAAAAGCTTGTTTTTATTTTTATTTACATAGACTGTGTAGTAGAATTACTATGCTATAGCATCTGAAACTTTTTAAAAATATATTTATTTATTTTGAGAGAAAGAGCAGAGGAGGGGCAGAGAAAGAGGAGAGGGAAAGAATCCCAAGCAGGCTCTACACTGCCAGTGCAGAGCCCCATGTGGGGCTCAAACCCAAAAACCCATGAGATCATGACCCAAGCTGAAGTTAGGAGTTGGGAGTTTAACCAACTGAGCCACAGAGGCACCCTGGCAGAAGCTTTTTAGTTTGATGTAATCCCACTTGTTTATTTTTCCTTTTGTTGTCAAATCCAAAAAAACCATCGCTGAGACAAATGTCAAGGAGTTTACCACCTATGTTTTCTTTTAAGGGTCTTATGGTTTCAGGTCTTATACTCAAGTCTAATACATTTTAAGTTAATCTTTGTGGGTGGTGTAAGATAATGGTCCAGCCTCATTCTTTTTCATGTGACTGTCCAGTTTTCTGAAAACCATTTATTGAAGAGATCGTCCTTTCCTCATCACATTTTCTTGGCTCCTTTGTCTTAAGTTAATTGACCATATATGCATGGGTTTATTTTTGCGCTCTCTATTCCCTTCCATTAATCTATGTGTGTGTTTTTATGCCAATACCATAATGTTTTGGTTACTATAGCTTTGTAGTGTAATTTGAAATTTGGGAACATGGTGCCTCCAGCTTTAATCTTTCCCAAGATTGCTTTGGCTATTGGGGGGTCTTTTGTGGTTCCATATAAATTTTTGAATTAGCTTTTCTATTTGTGGAAAATGCCATTGGCATTTTAATAGGGGTTGCATTAAATCTTTAAATGGCTTTCAGTAATATGGCCATTTTAACAATATTAATTCTTCCAGTCTGTGAGCACAGAATGTCTTTCCATTTATTTGTTTCTTCTTCAGTTTCTTTCATTAATGTCTAATAGTTTTCAGTGTACAGATATTTCACCTCTCTGATTAAATTTATCCTACATATTTTATTCTTTTTGATGCAATTGTAAAATGGTATTGTTTTCTTATTTCTCTTCCTGATAGTTTTTTATTTGTGTACAGAAATACCATACACATTTGTATATTGATTTTGTATCCTGCAACTTTACTTAATTTGTTTATTAGTTCTAACAGTTTTTGGTATCTTTCATGGGTTTTTATATATATTATCATGTCTTCTGAAAATAATGACGGTTTTACTTTTTTTCCTTTCCAATTTGAATGCCTTTTCCTCTCTTACTTGCTCTGACTAGGACGTCCATTTACATAATATGTTGAA